AAAGTCCTTAGTAATCGCAGAGGGCAAAGTCGTGACTTTGCAGTGGAGAAGCCCAGCAGACATCTCCTTGGTTGCCCAAGCAACCAAGGTAAACATCCCCATCCATGAGACACAATGACGTCACCCCCATGTGACGCCCGGCACCCCTGGCATCCTTCCCGCCCATGCATGACCTCAGTCTAATCAGGAGAACATAGCAGACAAACCCAGATAAGGGACCTCCCCCCAAACAATTGGCCCCTCCTCTCCAAAAGTGTCAGGGCCACAAAAGACAAGGAAAGACAGAGGAACCGGGTCACAGATTGGAGGGACCAGGGGCATGTGGGATCCTGCGAGTGGCATTTGGGATTGTGGACCAGAAAAGAGACATCGGTGAGAGCTGAATAAAGCCTGCAGTATAGTTGAGACCACTGGGTCATGGTCCTCAAATATGCACAGCAATTAAACTCACTAAACAGGACAGCTGGTGCAACCTGGATGAGTCCCACAAACACACATCAAACGCATACTTCTAATACTGTTCTTTTCCTTGATTCTACCGTAAGCCAGCTTGAGATAACACTTTGATATTTAAAATATAATACATAACAACTGGAGAAAATATTTGAGGTTGTATTTAATTTAACCCATCTATTTCACTTCTGGGAATTTACCCTAATGACATATTCAGTGATGCATACAAATACTTTAACTGTAAGGATGCTCATGTAGGACTTTTATAATACTGAAAAACCAAACAATCTCAGTGTTTAACGGTAAGGAATTGGTTTCTAGATAGATACATACTTACAGATTGATATACTGGCATATGTATAAGTAAATATATCAATACATATGCTGACTACATAAATAATATTACACTTAAATGCATTTATGTTATATAATATTTATTTATACACATGCCAGTAAATAAATTTTTTTGCCAGTAAATAAATTGAAATGCTCTTTAACCATTTATAATTCTGAAGAAAAATACTTAATTACTTTTTGATTTAAAAAAAAAAGATTTATTTATTTATTTGAAAGTCAGGATTACACAGAGAGAAGAAGACACACAGAAAGATATCTTCTATCCACTGCTTCACTCCCCAGATGGCTGCAGAGGCTGCAATGGCTGAGGCTGGGCCAGGCTGAAGCCTGGAGCCAGGAGCTTCCTCTAGTCTCCCACATAGGTGCAGGGGCCCACACACATGGGCCATCCTCTTTCCCATGCTCATTAGCATGGAGCTGGATTTGGAAGCGGGGCAGCCAGGACTCGAACCGATGCCTGTATGGGACACTGGCACCGTAGGAAGCAGCTTAATCTGCTACCCCACAATGCCAGCTCTTGCTTTGTGTTAGAACAGAAATGTCATAGACTGGGTAACTGGTAAACAACAGAAACATATTTGGCTCCTGGTTTGGAGGTTGGGAAGTCCAAGGGCATGGAGCAGGCATGCAGTGAAGGCCTTTTGGCTTCCTTGTCCCATGGCAGAAGCAGAAGGGCCACAGAGCTTGAGAGCGCCAGCGGGAGATGAACTGGCATTCATAATAAGCCCCTCCTTGTGCTAAGAAACCCACTCCCACACTAATGACGTTACTCCATTCATGAAGGCAAACGCTGTTGGGAATTAAATTTCCAACATGTGAGCTTCGAGAGACACATTCAACCCATAGCTATCAGATACCTGCATGTTGAACAATCATCTGTTATTTGAGTTATTCTATAATAAATACAAGTAATTTGAAAAGCTGCCTCCATTTCCACATCATTGTATCAAAGCTAGTAGAGTGATTATAACTTCATTAAATAGCTTTCATAATGTCTATTTTCTAAGGTTTCTTTGAATTTTTTTGCATTTAAAGTTTTTTTTTATTTATTTTTATTTTTTGACAGGCAGAGTGGACAGTGAGAGAGAGAGAGACAGAGAGAAAGGTCTTCCTTTTGCCGTTGGTTCACCCTCCAATGGCCGCAGCGGCCGGCGCGCTGCGGCCGGCGCACCGCGCTGATCCGATGAAGGAGCAAGAAGCAAGGGCTTTTTCCTGGTCTCCCAGGGGGGGGGGGCCCAAGCACTTGGGCCATCCTCCACTGCACTCCCTGGCCACAGCAGAGAGCTGGCCTGGAAGAGGGGCAACCGGGACAGAATCCGGTGCCCCAACCGGGACTAGAACCCGATGTGCCGGCGCCACAGGCGGAGGATTAGCCTAGTGAGCCGCGGCGCCGGCTTAAAGTTTTTTTTTTTTTTTTTTTTTTTAAAGATTTTATTGGCCGGCGCCCGCGGCTCACTAGGCTAATCCTCTGCCTTGTGGCGCCAGCACATCGGGTTCTAGTCCCAGTCGGGGTGCCGGATTCTGTCCCGGTTGCCCCTCTTCCAGGCCAACTCTCTGCTGTGGCCAGGGAGTGCAGTGGAGGATGGCCCAAGTACTTGGGCCCTGCATCCCATGGGAGACAAGGAGAAGTACCTGGCTCCTGCCATAGGATCAGCGCATGGGCCGCGGCAGCCATTGGAGGGTGAACCAACGGCAAAGGAAGACCTTTCTCTCTCTCTCTCTCTCTCTCAGTCCACTCTGCCTGTCAAAAAATAAAATAAAATAAAAGATTTTATTTACCTATTTAGTTGGCAGGCAGAGTGATAGCAAGAGAGGGAAAGACAGAGAGAGAAACACCTTCTATCTGCTGGTTCACTCTCCAGATTGCTGCAACAGCCAGGTCTGGGTCAGGTCAAGGAGAGGAGCCAGGAACTCCATTTTGGTCTCCCCATGGGAGTGGCAGAGCCCCCAGCACTGGAGCCATCCTGTGCTGAATTCCCAAGCACATCAGCAGGAAACTGGTTCAGAAACAGAGCAGCCAGGACCGGAACCTGCACCCCAGTATGAGGTGCTAGGTTTCCAGTGGTGGCACACCTGCTGTATCGCAATGCTGGCCCAGATCCACCCTTTCTTCCATCCCAGCTGCCTATTCTGCACCTCGACTGTCTGGGCTTGTCATCCATCCAGGCCTCCCCCAGTCTGATCATATTTAAGCCCTTCAACTGGCTTCCCCCACCCCTGACCACGGGATTGAATCTAGTCTCTTGCATGGTGAGCAAGGCTCTTAGCAACTCAGCCTACCTGGCCCTACCAGCTCCATGCCAGCTCCACCCTTCCCTAACACTGAGCTCACCATACGAGACCCCTCACCAGGCTCAGCTGGCAAAGACACTTTTCAAACTTCTCCACTGATAACCCAACGTGGGGCACAGAGCTGGTTTCCGTCAGGGAGACTGACACTTAAGTGATCTAAAACAAAGAGGAGTCACCATCCCAAGAGAGACAGAACTGGAATGCTGCTCCGAGGAGAAAGCATTTCATGTGAGTCTTGAAGAGCGAGAAGGAATTTATTGGGCTAAAAGTGTGCCCTACGAGGAAGAACAAGCAGGGAAGTGGCTGGAACGGCTGGAAAAGAGCCTTTGTAGTCTGGATCATGCTCACAAATGTCACCTCAGGGACGGTGCAGTGGACAGCCCATGGGCTCTGGAGCCACACGGAGGGTGTGATGCAATCCTGGATCTCCCTACTCAGCTCTGCACTTGCTTACTCAGCTGCAAAAAGGAGATAAGAAAGCAGGGGGCAGAGGAAAGCCTCTGAATGAGATAGGGAAAGTGCCTAGCACAGCAGAAATAAGGCCAAAGGTCAGTTGCTTCTCTACGAGAGGCAGCATTAGGGTCTAGGTATATTTGGGGTTAATGTGAGCATTCCTGGAAACTCTGGGTCTATTACAGAGCTTGTGTTGTACTCAACGTTAAGGTCATTACTGATGATTCGCTGGTATTGCTTTAAATGGCTGGTAAAGTCTTTAAATTACACCATATACTCAAAACCCAGGGCTTTTCTCCAGGGAAATCATTGAAAGTAATTACTTGAATCAGTAGGAAAAAAGGCTATGTACACACAGATATTCTGATTCAAAATGAAAAATTATGGGCCAGTGTTATGGCACAGCAGGTTAAGATGCCTGCCTGCAAAGCTGGCATCCCATATGAGTGCCGGTTCGAATCCTGGCTGCTCTGCTTCTCATTCAGCTTCCTGCTAATGAGCCTAGGAAAGCAGTGGAAGAGTACATGGGCCCCTGCCACCCATGCGGGACACCTGGATGGAGTTCCAGGCTTCTGGTTTCATCCTGGTCCAGCTGCGGCCATTGCAGCCATTTAGGGAGTAAACTGGTGGATGCAAGATCTCTCTTTCTCCCTCTGTGTGTGTGTGTGTGTGTGCCTTTCAAATAAATAAATTTTTTAAAATTTGTGACAAAAGTTACCATTAATTCTGAGAACAAAGCACAGAGCAGAAAAAAAGTTGTGACATCTACAACAACGCTTAACATCCCCAGTTAATCTTTCAGTCAATTGCTTCTGCAAATTAAAGTCCAATAGAAAAATGGTGAATGATTATCTGTACAGATAATTTATAACAGAGAACATTCAAGAGAAAACTGTAGTTGTTGGGGAAATACAAATTCAGGCAATAAGGCGATGCCACTAGGAGGCTGGTGTTCAGGAGGATTCTGCGGACTTAGCAACACAACAGTTGGTTTGTCAGGAGAACCTTAAACTAAAAAGGGAGATAGAGTGCAGTGCCTGTAAAGGCTCAGAGAAAAAGGCGTTCTTGTCCACTGCTGCTAGAGTGTGACCTGCTGTAACCGGCTCAGGAAGTAATTTGACACTATCAAGAATACAAATACAAGGGCCTACACTGGGGCTCAGCGAGGTCAGCTGCTGCCTGTGATGCTGGCATCCCCGTATAGAAGCACAGGTTTGAGTCCCAGCTCTTCCTCTTCCAGTGGAAGATGACCCACTTGGGCCCCTGTCACCCATGTGGGAGATCAGGATGGAGTTCCTGGTTCCTGGCTTCCAGATGGCCTAGCACCAGCTATTGTGGCCATTTAGGGAGTGAACCAGAGGATAGGAAGATCACTGTCTCTCTGTCATTTTGCCTTTTAAACCAATCAATCTTGAAAGAAAAAAAAGTTACAAATAAATACATACATTTGTTGACCTTGTCAATCCCATTTTGGCAAATCCAGCTTACAGAACAAAAGCAGCAGAGCAGACGGGTAGATGCACCTGGGTGTTTCACTGCAGGGTTACTTGCGGAGACCAAAAACTGCATACAACAGGAAAGTTTGTTATTAGCAAAATAGTTTAGAAATTTATAATAAATCTTCCCCATCAAATATCATGAACCTGATTAAAAGAGCAAGTTACATTTATACCATCTGACCTAGAGTAATATATATGCCATATACCCAAAAAAAGCAAGTTAGCAAGAAATATGCATAGTGTCCCAATTTTTTATTGATTTATTATTTGAAAGGCAGAGTTACAGAAAGACAGAGAGAGAGAGAGAGAGAGAGAGAGAGAGAGATCTTCCATCTGCTGGTTGGCTCCCCAAATGACTGCAATGGCTGGAGTTGGGCCAATCAGGATCCAGGAGCTTCCTGGGGTCTCCCACATGAGTGAAGGGCCCCAAGAATTTGGGCCATCTTCCTCAGCCCTCCTAGGGCATTAGCAGGGAGCTGGATAGGAAGTGGAGCAGCCAGGACTGGAACCTGTGCCCATATGGGATGCTGGCACTGCAGGAGGCAGCTTTACACACTATGCCACAGTGCCAGCCCTAGTATCCCATTTTTTTTAAGATTTATTTATTTATTTATTTGAAACAGTTACAGAGAGAGCAAGAGACAGAAAGAGAGATCTTTTATCTACTGGTTCACTCTCCAATCGACTACAACAGCCAGGGTTAGGCCAGGCTGAAGCCAGGAGCCTGGACTTCCATCTCTCATGGTCTCTCATGTAGGTACAGAGCCCAAGTATATGAGCCATCTTCTGTTGCTTTCCCAGGCCTATTGGCAGGGAAATGGATCAGAAGTGGAACAGCCAGGACTTGAATCAGTACCCATATAAGATGCCAACATTGTAGGCAGCTTAAGCTGCTGTGCCCCGACACAGGGACTATATTTGCTTACTTTTTAATGTATGAAAGATAAATAGAAAGATACAGAGTTGGGTACCTGAGACCATTGATATTATTACTTCATGGTTGGAATAGCTTGTGGGGCAGATATAATTTTTCTTTCATGTAATTTTTGGGTTATTCTGCTTGTAACAAATAAGCATTAATTATTTTGTAATTCTTTGAAGACGTTTTTAAAAATTTTTTTAAAGATTTATTTATTTATTTGAAAGTCAGAGTTACACAGAGAGAAAGAGAGGCAGAGAGAGAGAGAGAGAGAGAGAGATCTTCCATCCGTTGGTTCATTCCCCAGTTGGCCACAGTGGCCACAGCTGCGCCGATCCAAAGCCAGGAGCCAGGAGCTTCTTCTGGGTCTCCCACATGGGTGCAGGGGTCCAAGACCTTGGGCCATCTTCTACTTCCCAGGCCATAGCAGAGAGCTGGATCAGAAGTGGAGCAGTCAGGTCTTGAACCTGAGCCCATATAGGATGCTGGCACTGCAGAGAGTGGTTTTACCCGCTATGCCACAGCGCTGGCTCCTAAAATTTTATTTCTTTGAAAGGCAGAGTAGCTGGTATTGTGGCACAGAGGGCTAAGCCACCGCCTGTAACACCAGCATCCCATATGAGCACTGTTCTACTTCTGACCCAGCTTCCTGCTTGAGAAGGCAGCAGAAGATAGCCTGAATGCTCGAGCCCTTGCCACCCATGTGGGCGACCCAGATGGAATTCCAGGCTCCTGGCTTCAGCTTGGTCCAACCCTAGCTATTGCAGCCATTTGGGGAGTGAACCAGCAGATGAAGACCTCTCTTTCTCTCCCTCTCTCCCTCTCCTTTTCTCTCTGTAACTTTCAAATAAATAAGTAGTTCTTAAAAAAAAAAAAAGAGGTAGAGCCATAGACACACACACATAGAGAACTTCCATCTGGTGGCTGCAACAGCCCAGGGTGAACGTTAGCAGGAAGCTGGAAATGGCAGCTGAGCCAGGACTAAAACCCAGGTACTCCAATATGGGATGTGAACTTCCCAAGTGCTGGTAAACTGTCATGCCAGACACCTTCCCCACTTTCAAGTCTTAGAGGAAAATTCAAGGAAAAAAAAATGACAAAGAATATAAGGAAATACTAAATGTTCATAATATAAAGTGACAGAACACAATCATTAAATGGAATTTCTGCTTTAATTCCAACTGTCAAAATGAAATATGTGAGTGGATAGGACTGGTAAGGAGAACGTAAAAGACTTTCAGAGTTATTTTGAGTGCTAAGAGTATGCAGTGATTTTAAACACATACTATTGTGAAATGTGTAAACTATGGACACAGAGGACAAAACAGACCTAGAACATGTAACAGTGAAGTTGTTCAGTGAGGGTGACAGGCTTATAAACACATTTTTCAACTTCCTCAAACTTTCTATGATATCACACTCTAGGATAAACAGCAAAGCCTCTGCCTCTAAGCAAATAGGTTTTCTTCTGCTGGAGCCCATAACATTAGGAGAAAAGACAGAACACAAATTTGTATCAGTTACAGCTTTGTCAAAAGACAGCCCTGTAAGGATAAGGCCTGGAGGAGGAATGCTGAGGTCATGGAGGATTTTCCAGTTTTTATTTTCTTTATGGTTATGTTGGGAAAAGTACAGATCAAGAATGAGGGAGGCTGGCGCCGCGGCTCACTAGGCTAATCCTCCACCTGGCGGTGCCGGCACACCGGGTTCTAGTCCCGGTCGGGGCGCCAGATTCTGTCCCGGTTGCCCCTCTTCCAGGCCAGCTCTCTGCTGTGGCCAGGGAGTGCAGTGGAGGATGGCCCAGGTGCTTGGGCCCTGCACCCCATGGGAGACCAGGAAAAGCACCTGGCTCCTGGCTCCTGCCATCGGATCAGCGCGGTGCGCCGGCCGCGGCGGCGATTGGAGGGTGAACCAACGGCAAAGGAAGACCTTTCTCTCTGTCTCTCTCTCTCACTGTCCACTCTGCCTGTCAAAAAAAAAAAAAAAAAAAAAAAATGAGGGGAAGGAACTTCTAATTGGTGTTTTCTCAGTTTCCTGAAGCTCTATCCTCTTTTTCAAATCCTACAAGGGTATTCCAAAGAGTTGGTGGGAAATAGCAAGTTAACTTTATTTTGGTGAAAACCAATTTTGAGATTCATGCATACATGGGCCTTTCAAAAGTGCATGAAAATGTATTGTGGGCCGGCGCCGGGGCTCACTTGGCTAATCCTCTGCCTGCGGCACCTGCACCCTGGATTCTAGACCTGGTTGGGGCACCAGATTCTGTTCCGGTTGCTCCTCTTCCAGGCCAGCTCTCTGCTATGGCCCGGGAGGGCAGTGGAGGATGGCCCAAGTCCTTGGGCCCTGCACCCCATGGGAGACCAGGAGGAAGTACCTGGCTCCTGGCTTCGGATCGGCGCAGTGTGCCGGCCACAGCGTACTGGCCATAGCAGCCATTTGGGAAGTGAACCAACGGAAGGAAGACTTTCTCTCTGTCTCATTGTCTAACTCAGCCTGTCAAAAAAAAAAAAAAAGAAAGAAAGAAAAAGAAAATGTATTGTGAAAAACTATACATAAATTAAAAAAAAACTCTGTACTAAAATACACTTGTACTTTCATTTTTCCACAAACTTTTTTTAAGTGCTCTCACAAAAATTCCCTCTTTTAAATACACGCTGATCAGGTTGTCCATGAAACACATTAACTCAAGCTGCTGACCTTTGGAAAGCAAATCAGAGACTATATTGAGAAAGAATTGTAATCAGGCTCAGCCACTGCGAGAGTTATTTCAGACAGCCTCTCGCTCAGTTCCAGCCCTAGCCTGGGGCCAGCGGGGTTACTGGGACGTGCTGACAGCCCCTGTGCTCTGGACACTGGAAGACCTGCGGCAGGCTGGGGCGGGAAGGAAGCCATAGGACTTCCTCAGCAGGACTCCCCCAGCCAGCCAAGCACTGTCCACCCTCGAGTATGTGTTTTGTCAGGGCTCAACATAGGCAGCAAGCTGAACATGATCCAAGCAGATCACTTCCCTGCAATTTTAGAAAGCAAGTCAGTCCTAGATTCGATGTGGTTCACGTCAGCTAGAGCAGGGCCTCTCAGAGGTTGAGAGAGACTTGCACCACTTCTAATTTGCTTTAATGAATATGAAGAAGTATCAAATCAAGTTTACAACTGTGGTAAATTATAAATACTTACTTCTAATTAACACTTCCAACACACAAATACTGAGCTTATCATAGGGTTATTCTAAGACTAATTATTTTAAGAATAATTATGAAATATATATATAAAGCTGGAAAATATGATAAACTTATTCTAAGTAGTATATTATTTACATTTTTAATTAACATGCTCAATATTTTTTCTTTAATCCCTAGCCACCTTTTCAGGTAAAGCATCTTGAAATTTTAAAGGAATGAGCTAATTGGTAAATTTGAAAACCTAGGTAAATACACAGGGAAATTTTATATGTATTTTTCTCTACTCATGGTACATGCCAGGTGTTCTTGTTTGAAAAAGGAAGACAAATTCAAGGTAATATGATAAGCATCTTCTTTTAGTCCTGCCAAAGCATCTCTGACTCATGCACACCCTTGTATGGAAATGAACTGTTGGAGAATGTGCAGCCTGGCCCCCTGCCCATGGCAGGCCCTGCTTTTGGAAAGGCAGAGCTGCAGGGAGTGGATGGAGTCTGCGACTTGGAATCAAAGGATTCATGTTGGAACTGGACTTCTGCCCTTTATTGTACTGACTTTGACCCTATACCTTCCACTGCAAGATCAAGATAGTGACACAACCTCTTCACAGCGTTGTGGGGGAAGATTAACTGAGATAATGCATAGGAAAGCCCCTAGCACAAAGTTTAGTGTGTAGGTTGCCCAAATGTTTGCTTCCTTGGACTGGCTCTTCTTGGCTGGGTGTGAGGACTACACTGGATGATGTATGTGAAAACAAATGTTAGTTATAATTAGAAATGGGTAACAGGGCGCTGAGTCTAAGTCAACACATCATGTCTCTGTGTATGCAGGGTTGGGACTATCTGTGATAGGATGTTAGTCCTCAAATACTATACTTTTTAACCTCATTAAAAAAAAAGTTTGTTTAAAATCCAGAATGACAGAAAGAGAGCGAGTGTGAGACAGCGAGAGTGAGAGAGAGAGAGATCTTGCATATGCTGGTTCACTCCCCAAATGCCTGCAACAGCCAGGGCTGGGCCAGGCTGAAGCTGGGAGCCAGGAACTCCATCTGGGTCTCCCACATGGGTGGCAGGGCCCCAAGTACTTGGGCTATCACCTGCTACCTTCCAGGGTGTGTGTTAGTAGGAAGCTGGTATCGATGTTGAGGAACCAGACTGTAATGTGGGATGTGGGTGTTCCACTGAACAACAATGCTCTGTATGAATTTTTTGACACCTATCATTGTCAGTTTGTTGCTATTTATAAATGAAAGAAGTTTATTTAACTTGCAATTCTGAAGAGTGAAAGTCCATGGTTAGGTAGTCACAACTGGGAAGATTGGGCATCCTCTTGCTGTGTTACAATATGACCATAAAGGGCAAACAGGCACAAAACACAAGGGGCCGCCTTGCTTTATAACAACGCTGTTGAAAGAAACTCAATGATGCAAAAGAGACATTAATCAAAAAAAAAAAAAAAAAAAGACAGACAGACAGACAATCTTACACAACGATCTATTCACCTCTTAAAGGCCTCACCTTCCAATACCACCACAGTGGCAGTCAAACTTCCATATGAGTTTCCAAGGGAATGAACCATGTTGAAACCACAGCTACACTCCATAGGAGCTCACCTATCTCATCTATGCTGAACCCTGAGCGACTACATGTTCAGTACATAGTTGTAACATGAACAAATGAGCAAATGCGTTTATGAAATCCTTTTTTTTTTAATCAAGGATGTATTTGAAAGGCAGGGAGAGAGAGAGAGAGAGGTCTTCCACCTGCTGCTTCAGTCCCAGATGGCCACATGGCCAGGGCTGGGCAAGGACAAAACCAGGAGCCTGGAACTCCATCTGGATCTCCCATGTAGGCGGCAGGGTCCTAAGTACTCGGGTAATGTTTCACTGCTTTCCAGGTGCATTAGCAGGGACCTGGATCAGAAGTGGAGCTGTTGGGACTCAAATTGGCAGGCATATAGGATGCTGCTGTTACAACCAGCAGCTTGAGCCACTGCACCATGGTGCTGGGCCCCCTTTATCACATCTTTGTAGCAGAACGAGTTACTTTGTTCTCAGTGGTCCACAGCAGTTTGTTTCTGTGTGCAGCACTTATCTTAGTTGAGGTAGGTGGTTACATGAGTGGTCTCTGATAAAAGTCCTTGGGCTCCTGCACCAGCATGAAAGACCTGGAAGAAGCTCCTGGGTCCTGGCTTCGAATTGGCCTAGCTCCAGCCATGGCAGCCATTTGGGGAGTGAACTAGAGGAAGGAAGACTTCTCTCTCTCTCTCTCTCTCTCTCTCTCTCTCTCTCTCTCTCTGCCTCTGCCTATCTGTAACTCTGCCTTTCAAATAAATAAATCTTTTTTTTTAAAGATACATTTTAAACAAATCATTAAAGACACTAAGTTAGGGGTGGGCATGGTGGTACAGAGAGCTAAGCTGCCGCATGGGGTGTCTACATCCCATGCTGGAATGCTGGTTTAAGTCCTGGCTGCTTTGTGCTTCCCACCCAGCTTCCTGCTAATGTACCTGGATGGCAGCAGATGGAAGCCCATGTAATCGGGTTCCTGCTGCCCATGTGGGAAACACAGATGGAGTTCCTGGTTCCTGGCTTCAGCCTAGCCTGATCTAGTCCCAGCTGTTGCAGACATATGAGGAGTGAACCAGCAGATGCACAATATCGCTCTCTATCCTCTCTTTCTCCTTTTCAAATAATAAATAAATATTCTAAAAAGACACTAATGTGTATATTGTTCATTATATAGCAGTAAGTAGCTAAGACACCAGTTTGCATTACATTATAAATTATTGTTTATGTCTTCCTCCACTAAGCTGAAGGCAAAGTATTGCAAATATAATTATCTTTGTACTCCCTACTTTGTCTCACATGCTGCACAGATTAATCAATCTGACAGTCTGCTTTAAGTCAATAATTCATTCAAAGATTTATTGAGCTGCTTGATGTGGTACTCTCCATGCTGTTTGTTTGTGGTTAGTTGTGTGTATGTGCCAGGGATGGGGAAGGATATGAAAAGAGGAAGTGAAGGTTCACTCCCCAGACACTTCACAAGGCTGTTTGGTCGGAGATCACACCCAACTGCCACTGCAGCAGTCTCAGCACAGAAGATGAATGTCAGGGTCCAGAGGTTTCAGAAGCAAGGGTCTGTGGGTGCCCTGAGAGGACAGAGGTGGGGCAGGCTGGTAGGGTGGCTTCCTTATGTGGGGACTGGCTCCTAAGCTGAGCATCAGCAAGGTCCTGACTGCTGTCTTAAAGCACCAGGGAAGCTGGCAGAGCGATTTCAGTCATTTTTCACATGTGATCGTTAAGGCCAGCTTGTAAGGTCATTGCAGGGTCATCTTGTGGTTTGTCCCTGATCACATAGCTTGTGATGGACCTCCACAACCAGGCTAAGAGGAGCAAGCTTCCTGCAGATCTCAAAGCTGGCCTCACTGCTGTCTCTTGGGTTTAAGGTATACAATCCCTCATGCCTGGGCCCTGGGCAGGGACACTGCCCACCTTCCTTGGCTTCTGTCTACACAGCCCCAGCTGCCCTTCGGGGGAGAGAGAGACAGAGAGAGAGAGAGAGAATAAGACAAGTCTGTCTAATCTTGAAGCTCATTCATGTTTTAAAAAACAAAACCCAAGAGCGGCGCCGTCCGCTCCACGGGTTCGCGGCCAACCGTTGCTTCGGAGGCCTCGCCGCTGCCATCACATTCTGCAGCTGAGAGACCATGGTGGGCCGGAACAGCGCCATCGCCGCCGGCGTATGCGGGGCCCTTTTCATCGGGTATTGCATTTACTTCGACCGCAAGAGACGGAGTGACCCCAACTTCAAGAACAGGTTGCGAGAACGAAGAAAGAAACAAAAGCTTGCCAAAGAGAGAGCTGGGCTTTCCAAGTTACCTGACCTTAAAGATGCAGAAGCTGTTCAGAAGTTCTTCCTTGAAGAAATACAGCTTGGTGAAGAGTTACTAGCTCAAGGTGAATATGAGAAGGGTGTGGACCATCTGACAAATGCAATTGCTGTATGTGGGCAGCCACAGCAATTGCTGCAAGTATTGCAGCAAACTCTTCCACTGCCAGTGTTCCAGATGCTGCGCACTAAACTCCCAACAATTAGTCAGAGAATTGTAAGTGCTCAGAGCTTGGCTGAAGATGATGTGGAATGAAGAATTTCAACATAATAAAATCTCACTTCAAAATATTAAAAAAACAAAACAAAACAAAACAAAAAACAAAACCCTACTCTATACAAACCCAACTTTAAGCAGAAAGTCTTATTTTTTTCTTCCTTTTTAAAAATTTCTCCTGGATATAATGAGGTAATTTCAAAGAGATGACACTTTGTCTCAAGTAGTCTAGAAGGTATGATTTATTATATGAGAATAAAAAATGATTTTATAATTAAAAAATAAATACTAAAAAAATAAATAATAAAGCAGGGGCGAGCATTTAGCACAGTAGTTAAGATGCCACCGGGGATGCTCACAACCTGTATCAGAGTGCTTGGGTTTGAGTACCAGCTCTGTTTCCAGTTCCAGCTTCTTGTACAGGCTGGGAGGTAGCAGGTAGTGGTTTAACTAGCTGAGTTTCTGCCACCCATGTGGGAGACCTGGATAGAGTTCCTGGCTCCTGGCTTTGGCCTGGCCCAGCCCTAGCTGTTGTGTGCATTTGAGGAATGAAACAGAGGATGGAAGAGCTTTCTGTGTTACTCTCTATCTCTCTGCTTCTGAAATAAAATTAAAATGAAAAAAAAAAATTAGGGGCCGGTGTCATGGCGTAGGGGGTTAAACCACCACCTGTGATGTCAGTATCCCATTTGGGCAACAATTCAAGCCCAAGCTGTTCCACTTCCCATCTAGCTCCTTGCTAATGTGCCTGGGAAAGCAGCAGAAGGTGGTCCAAGTGACTGGGCTCCTGCCACTGACATAGGAGACATGGAAGAAGTTCCTGGTTCCTGGCTTCAACCTGGCCCAGTCTCAGCCTTTGCAGCCATTTGGGGAGTGAACTGATGGATGGAAGATCTCTCTCTCTCTCTCTCCCCCCACCCTCTGTAACTCTGCCTTTCAAAATAAAGAAATAAATCTTTTTAAAAGATTTAAAAATACATAGATAGAAGCAGACAGTTAGCTTAGCACTTAAGACTTGTGTAGTATGTCCACATCCCACATCAGAATACTTAGGTTCAATGTTCAGCCTGAGCTCCTGACTCCAGCTTCCTGCTAACACAGACCCTGGGCAGCAACAGTGATTGCTCAAGTAATTGGATTCTTGCCACCTATGTAGGAGACCTGGATTGATTTTCTGGCTCTAGACATTTAGAAAGTGAAACAGCAGATAAGAGCTCGCTCTCTCTCTCTCTACCTAAAAAAAAAAAAGGGGGGGGGTCAGAGGCAGCACTGAGGTGGAGTGGGTTAAGCCACTGCTTGGGATGCCCACATCCCATACTGGAGTGCCAGTTTGAGTCCTGGCTGCTCCAATTCTGATCTAGCTTCCTACCAGTGTCTCTAGGAAGGCAGAAGATCGCCCAAGTACTTGGGCCCCTGCCATTCATGTGGGAGACCAGATGGAATTTCTGGCTTCTGGTTTGGCCTGGCCAAGACAGGGCTGTTGCAGCCATCTGGGGAGTGAACTGGCAAATGAGCTGTGTGTGTGTGTGTGTCTGTCTGTCTGTCTCTCTGCCTTTCAAATAAAAATAAATAAAAAATAAATTTAGCTTTAGTTTTAGCTCCCATTTTTTATTACTAAAAAAAGTCAAGGTGGTTGGGGGAGGGAGTTTGCACTGTAGCCTAGTGGGTAAAGCTGCCTCCTCCTGAAGTGCTGGCATCCCATATGGGTGCCAGTTGAGTCCCGGCTGCTCCACTCCCAATCCAGCTCTCTGCTATGGCCTGGGAAAGCAGTAGAAGATGGTTCAAGTCCTTGGGCCCCTGCACACATGTGGGAGACCCAGAAGAAGCTTCTGGCTCCAAGCTTCAGATCGGCTCAGCTCCGGCCACTGTGGCCATTTGAGGAGTGAACTAGTAGATGGAAGACGTCTCTGTGTCTCTATCTCTCTCTATAACTCTTTCAAATAAATAAAATAATCTTTTTCTTAAAAAAAGCATAAAGAAAAGTTAAAAGATTCAAAACTCGTTAATATGAAGTTGGTGTTCTGGCACAGCAGGTTAAGAATCATATATCAGAGGGCCGGTTCTGATCCAGTTCCTTACTAATACAACAAAAGATGGTTCAAGAACTTGGCTTCTGCCACCAACAGGAGACCCAGATGGAGTTCCAGGCTCCTGGCTTCAACCTAGCCCAGCTCTGGCTCTTGTGGCCATTTGGGAAGTGAGCCAGTGGATGGAAGATTCTCCCTCTCTCCCTCTGTCACTCTGCCTTTCAAATAAAAAAATTAAATCTTTAAAAAAAAACTTAATAAATTATACATTCACTGTGTGTGCTTTCCTCAAAGAATTAGAACTGATTTCAATTCTTGTATATAACCACCCTAGCATTGTCACACCAAAGAAAATTTTATTTAGACAGAATCTTTGGACACAGAGCTTGAGGGTGAAGAAATAACACCCTTATCTCCACTTCCTATCTGGGAGCACAGGGAAGTCAGCCAGGATGCTGGATCAAAAACAGGGGTGGGACGAAAGTGCTGGTTCTCCTTGTAGACCAGAAAGCCAGCATGGTTCAGAGATGTGCTCAAAGCCACTTACGGGAGGTCCTGAGCGGCCTGGATTCCCAGCAAGTGGATTAATTGCCTGTGCATTAGGCAACCTTGGGAGGACGTAACTGAGCAACAGCACGAAAATGAGGTGAGAAATAAAGTAAACAGGTCTTTGAGAGGTGAAACAAACTGCAGCCACCAGCCACCCTAGCAAGCATGACTGACAGGAAAGATTCCATGCAGACACATCTGCTGTGAATGAGCCCACGTCTTCCCAGGGGGAGGGCTGAGTGGCAGCGATATGACTGAGGAAGGAAATGAGGCTCCAGGCAGGAGGAAATTCTCTGCTGTGTGAATTAATAACAAACGTGCTGTACTGTTGCCCTACTCTTCCTACCTGGCAGGCTCTGGTGGCTACAAAGGGCTCCTTCCTGCCCTGCAGAGTTCTGCAGAAACTTTCTATACATTTTGGGACTAGAGGAAGCGTCCAGCCCCTTTTCCCTCTCTGCCCCTAACACATTGTTGTTCTTGATCTGAGTCCCTAAAATGCTTCCTCCATAAAATGGACATGGTAACATCTGCTAGCAGGGCAGGTCCCAGGCAGGGCTCAGTGGGATGGTGAGGGTGAAGGGTCTGGCCCAGTGTCAGCCACACTGTAACAGGCCCCAAGAGAAAGTTGTCTCATCATTTCCAGGGGAGCCCTGCCCTTGTGGAAACTACCTTTCCCAAGGTCCTTAGCAGCTATCTTTCTGGATTCAGCCAAGGGGAAAACCTTCCAGCTGAGTTCAGCCAATGGGAAATCTTTCAGCGGGGCTCAGCCAACAGGAGGCCATTTGCCCAGTATTTCTGTCTCTTTCTCTTGTGGGTGAGGGTGGGCTCGCCGACTCTCCTGTGTAGTTGTGGCTCCTAATAGGAAACCCCCACCCTTTGTGGCCCCAGAGCCCAGCAGGTAGCTCCACCAGGGCTTTGCTTCCCACCGAAGTCTCCAGTCTCAGGGCTCCGGTGACACGACGTCCATCCTAGAAGCAGGAGGGACTTCCTGTCCTTCCTTGTTGCTGATCTCCAGTTCCCTCCCCGCCTCCTGCTTAGCTTCCTAGCTGTTCCATCACTCTCAGAGCCAATTCCTTGTATTCAGTTCTCTCTCTTTTACATACTTGCAGTAGTTTCAATTTGCTGATAAACTTGATCATTGTTCAGACCAACTATGCACCAAAGGGAAACAGTAAGCTTGGGATGCTCAAACCTTACACTTTCAAAGAAGGGCCTATCCCCTGACAGGCTCCTGGGAGATAACCTCTAAACCCTTGAGATGGGCCGGCGCCGTGGCTCACTTGGCTGATCCTCCACCTGCGGCGCCAGCACCCCAGGTTCTAGTCCTGGTTGGGGCACCTGGTACTGGTCACAGTTGTTCCTCTTCCAGTCCAGCTCTCTGCTGGGGCCCGGGAGAGCAGCAGAGGATGGCCCAAGTGCTTGGGTCCCTGCTCCCGCATGAGAGACAGGGAGGAAGAACCCAGCTCCTGGCTTCAGATTGGCGCAGCGCCAGCCGTGGTGGCCATTGGGGGAGTGAACTAACAAAGGGAAGACCTTTCTCTCTGTCTCTCTCACTGTCTATAACTCTCTCTCTTTCTCTCCCACTAACTCTGCCTGTCAAAAAAATAAAAAATAAAAATAAATAATAAACCCTTGGGATGTCCAGCCTGATGAGAGTGTCCGTGTGTCTGGAGCCTTGGGCCATGCCAAATAGCTTGAGCTTGTGTGATTTACGTTGAATGTCTGGCTTTTGTGTTCCTGGGCCACACATCCAATTTGACCTACTTTTGAGGGGGAGGGTTTCAAGACTGAAAAGCTAAGATCAATCATATGGGTGCCCCATGCATGTGTGACAGACCCTCAATAAAACCCTGGGACCGGGTGAGCTTCCTGTGAGCAACACATTACAGCAGGCAGAATTAAACACTGTCCAACCAATTCCTCTGCTATAGACAGCAGGAAGCTTGGAAGCTCTTCCTGTTCTCTTCTGGACTTGGCCCTATGCACTTTTTCCTTTGCTGATTTTAATCCATATCCTTTTGCTGTAATAAATTGTAACCATGAATACAGAAGCTTTTCTGAGTTCTGAGTCCTCCTAGCAAATCACTGAACCTGAAGATAGTTTTAGGAACCCCCAACATGCCAATTAAAAAGGAAACAAAGTGTGCTAGGTCCCCGGACTGAAGTAACTACCTGAGCAGAATGCACCCTCTGGAATTTTTTTTTTATTTGACAGGTAAAGTTATAGACAGTGAGAGAGAGACAGAGACAAAGGTCTTCCTTCCATTGGTTCACCCCCAAATGGCCGCTGCGGCTGGCACTACGCAGATCCGAAGCCAGGAGCCAGGTGCTTCCTCCCAGTCTCCCATGCGGGTGCAGGGCCCAAGCACTTGGGCCATCCTCCACTGCCTTCCTGGGCCACAGCAGAGAGCTGGACTGGAATAGGGGCAGCCGGGACTAGAACCTGGCGCCCATATGGGGTGCCGATGCCGCAGGTGGAGGATTAACCAAGTGAGCCATGG